TAGAAGAAAGAGTGTATTTCAGAGACAAGACTGTATCTGAGTGTAAAAATACAGTATATATGTATCACATATACATGAATGTAATGCACATATATGTATGTGTGTATATATATATGCACATACATATACATACACATGTGCATATACACGGTATATGTGTGTATATATATATTTATGCAAATATGTACAAAATTTCCTTTCCATTAGAAGTGACATAAAAGACCGAGTTGCCTGACAAACACCCCTCCTCATTATTGGTGAGGTATCACTGGATTGCCATTTATGTATCTGTGGTTTTAAAAGATCAGAAACAATCATTGTGTTTAAGCCATTGCTTCCGTACTGAGGTAGAGAAATGTGCTATAAATTGATACATATTTAATGTTCCTCCATGGAACAATATCCACAACCTCAAGTCTAAAGTAGCTTTTAAAAACATCAATGCTCACTTTATATAAATAAGTGGTCATGACAGTGGAATTTTAAGGTTCAATTAAATGCATTTTCTCAGAAGAAAAGTTTCACCCTACAAGTTCCATTTTTATGAGATTACCATCCATTTTTATTCTCACAGGAGGAGTGCTGCATCCAGGTTTAAAGAGCAGTAAGGTGCAAACCGTACTTTAGTGTTTTGTTTTTAAACTAGAATCTGTGATCCAATAAAGCCCAAGGAAGGAAAAATGCATGTTCATTATTCTGAAAGCCTCTCTGTTATTTTATCACCCACTTTCCTAATAGAATAGTTTTCCAGGGTGTCCATTGTAATGTAAATACCTGGTAAAAAGCTCTGGTCTTGGTTGTACTTGCACTCAGTGTTAGCAGTACTAAAATTTACCTCCTGTTCCCTAGCATTTGAAGGAGGACTGGGGCATTTCATAACTCTCTGGGTGTGTTGACTCAGTCCTAAGCTTTTGGGCTCAAGGCTCTGTGAGGCACGCGGAGACAGAGAGGCATAGGGTACACACACCCCTTGCCCTAAAGGAGGCCACAGTCCAGTTGGGGGAACGAATTTGCAACCAATTCTGAGCCAAACTTGAGTCAGTACTGTGGCAGAGGTATAAATAAAGGGGTAAAGGAGCATAGCAGAAGGGTGGTTAGTTCTGCAGGGAGTGGAGAGTTGGGGGCGGCACAAAGCGGAATGCTTCACAGAAGGGCTGGCATCTGACGCAGCTCTGAAGGATGAACAGATTTTGGATAGGCAGGACTGACATATCAGAACACCCCAGGAAGCAGGAACAGCTTGCCCAGGGAGTTGGGATGGGAGGTGGGATTCTTGGCATAACTGGTCAGTGTTGTGCATGAGGGGTGGTGGAGAAGGTCGGTTGTGGACAAATCTTCCAGGGTCATAAATTTCACATTCGGGCAAGTGGATTTTAATCTTTAGTAGTGATCTGATCCGAGGACAGAAAAGCCATCCCTGAAAATCAACGAAGTCAATTAGGAGTGTGTAAGAAATAACCCCAGGAAGAAAGTTTATATCGTGCTGGTGAACGAGGGTGGGGGCAGTGAGAAAGGAAAGTGTAGATCCAAGGGCCCTGCAGAAAGAGAATGGAGTGGTCCGAGGTCTGTATTAGGCGTGGACGTTGAGTGAAAGGGAGAGGCCAGTGACTCTGAGGCTTCATGTTTGGGGGCTTGAGAGACTGAAAGACGGCTCTAAAGATGAGCGGTTTTGCAGGGAAATATAATGATTTAAGTTAAGGATCTGTGTCGTAGTGCTGTAGAAAATACCGATTTAGAGATTTCCGGGAGGTCTAAAATCTCAGTAGATGTTCGAGCTAGAAATATGGGTCTCAGAACCATCTCTTTCTAGGAAGGGGGACACCGGGAGAATGAGGGACAAGATCACCCTCATTCGGAGCAAGATGAAGGGACTCAACAAGAAACCTAGAGGGTCATCTCCAGAGGACGCTCTCTGTCCCTTAATCAATATCACGTTGTCTTATTTATCTAGTTTTTATTCTTCTAATTTGCAGTCTAGCGTATATGTAACTAAGAATAGAAATCTAAATTGATCCTTATAACACAACTAACAGCATAATAAAACTAATAAATAACATTTACGTAGCACTCTACAGTTTACAGAGCCCTTGCATGTAACACAGGGGCAAGGGACTGTTTAAGGTCTCGGTGAAAAAACACTACAGCAACGCCTTCCAGCTTGCCTTCTGAAACATCAAACCCCAATATCTTGTGTGAGTTTCCTCCATTACTTGCCAGCTCTGCATATGGAATTATTTACTCCTCACCTCCTTCCAGAGAAGAGGGTTCTGATCCCCACTTTACACAGAGAAAGTCAGGGAGACTGATTGATTTGCCACACTGTCGCCCCTGTTGGTGTATTAAGTGATAAATTAACCCAGACTTTCGTAATAAAATGATCTATTACTGTATAACAGTTTACCCAAAACTTAGCAGCTGAAGCCAACAGTAAACATTTATCGACTCACACAGTTTCTCTGGCATGGCTAACCAGATGGTTCTGGGGCAGGGCCTCCCATGCAATTGCAGGCAAGGTGTCAGTCAGCCAGAGCCACAGCCTTTGGAAGGTTTGACTTAGGCTGGCGGACAGACAGCTCGTGTGCCTGGCAAGTGGATGCTGACAGCTGGTAGGAGGCCTGGGTTCCTCGTCACATGGGCCTCTCCATAAGGCTCCTTGAGTGTCCCCATAACATACTATCTGGCTTCCCTCAGAGCGAGTGATCCAAGAGAGCAGGATGGAAGCCATGATGGTTCTTAAGGCCCAACCTAGGGAGTCACATTCCATCATTTCTGCAAAATCTTACTGATTACACAAGTCAGTCTTAATCAGTGTGGGAGGGGACTGCACAAGGACACAATTACCAGGAGGAGAAAAGACAAGGGTCATTGGGAGCATCTTGGAGACTCACTACCATACCATATTATTGATCTCCAATACTTTCATTGTCAACTTTCAGGATTTATGATTCATTCTTATACAAATTAAAGACATTCCAAAAAGACGTTTGTCTTTAAACATTTTATAATTCAGGGCTTGAACAGCATTTTTTTTAAATTTGTAGAGGCGTTTGAGGCATCTAGTATACCAAACTTGGTAATCAAATAGTAAACAGTGGCTTGCCTGATGAAAAACTTAAATGAGGAGGTACCCCATCACACTTGGTAATGAATGAAGCCTTTAAATGGACTCTTCATGTCATTTATCTGTTTAAATCATTGAAATAAATCGTATCAAACAAGACCTCTGGAAATCACCCAAATGAACAGCATGTGCCATTAATCAAGATGCCAGTTAGATGCATTCGACCCTCTTGGTGGCTGCATGAGAGAAAGGTTGTACATTTTCCTCCTTATAGCTTAAGATTTTAAAAGACAGGAAGAGCTGGTAGAAAACCTTGGCTAAAGTGTACATGCAGCTTGCATGTGTTGCATAAACCCTCAGTAACTTGCTCCACCTGTGAAATGTTGAAAGCGGACAAGAACGATGGCCGGAAGGGCGCCCGCTCTTACCCATCACAAAAGCAAGGCTCTGACCTCCACAGTGGTGTTGCCACACACCAACGCCCTCCTGCAGTTTCTCATCTAAGCCTGTAACCACGCTGACATGGCCCACAGCCTAGCAGAAATGTGGGGTTTGCGCCCCCTCGGGTTTTTGCCCTGTCTCCTTCATTTGCATGCTGCCAAATTTCATGAACAGGAAGGCGCTTCCTCAAGCTCATCTTCCTCACCACTGGCTACTCTTCAGGCTTGCACAGTGTCTCTTGTGCTCCCCGCCCCTGCTCTGCTAAGCCTGCTCCCTCTCAATATAGCCACAACCGTGTGAACCCAGCAGATTCAGATGCTGGGGGTGCCCACCATACTTCCTCAAATTATCTGTGGCACATGACTCTGTGCTCTGTGGATCTCTGTGGATATCTGCTGCTTCTGTCTTCTCGTGGTCCTACATCACAAAGTAGGAGTAGCATTTTTGTTCTCTTGGTCACTCTCCTCAGCCCAGCACTCTGTGCTGCCTGCCTTTATGTTCCCATTCCCCGCCTCAGCCCACCCATCTTCTCAAGATGGACCTTTTCTGCATTGTAATTTCAATTCGGATCCCTCTCCCAAGCTCCATGTCTCTGTAACACTTCAAACTCAGTTAAGTCTAAAACTGAACTTGTCGTCCCCATGCCCCCATCACGTTTTACCATTTCCCCAAATTGTAACACCATGTCCAAAGTCACCTATAAAACCATTCACCTTGACCTTTCCTTTTCCCTTGCACTTTACATTTTGTAAATCCCTGGGCCTTGTAAGTTCCGCCTTCCTACTTCTCTACTCCCATTGCCGTACTCGGTCTATTACCTCTTATCTAAACTCTAGAATAGCCCTCTTCCTATGCAAAACTGTAGTTCCTAAAGCAAGCTTTAAACATGGCTCTTGCTCTAAAGGCCTTGTCCCACAGCGCCCATACTATTTTTTTTTTTTTTTGCCAAGAATCAATACCTTCCCTATTTCAAATTTCCCAGATCACATGTATCTTTCAAGGTCCAAATCAAATATCATTTTCTCCATAACTTTGTGGGCATCCCTTCATTTCTAAAATAATCACTCATCCTCTCATATTCTTTAAAGGTTTTGTACCTTTTGGGGCACATCCCATTTCATACTATATTGTCTGTCCTTTATCTTCCCAAGTAGGTTGTAAGAGGCCTTGGTCTTATTTTCTTCGGGTGTTTATCCCCACAGTTCATTCTGTGGGGATTTGTACCTTGTAAGTTTATTGTTGAGTAAATTCTCTTACTAACAAGATTTTTAAAACCCAATAGCATATTTAATGCATCCTCATTTATTTTTGACTTGCATAAATTGGTTTGAGAGCATTTTTTACCCCTTTCAACTGTGCCCAGTCATCTCTAGAAGCATGTTGGACACAGCTGAAAGAGTGATTGCGTTTGGAAATTGCCATAAGCTGGAGTTTCTTCTTTGTTGTATCTTGTTCACATGGATCCACTCTGCAACTGGCCTGCTATTTCTCATTTCAGGGAGAGTGGAGAAGAAAAAAAGAGAACAAAAAACAACTTCAGGTAAGATTTGGACTAATTAGTTCCAATTATTTCCTGTTTTTACTTTCACCTTTAAAAAAATCTGTTTGCAGTTTAATATTCAAAAACTCGCATTTAAAAAGTAATAGTTTATGGTCCTACAATTGATTGTTATTAAATTAATTAAATTAATACATTTAGTTTTTTCACTTTCACATCAATCGTGTCCTCATTCTGTCATTCTGTTCTAAAGAATATAAGATAGAATGTGATTTTTGCATCATTACCAATTGAAAGGTAAGTCTTAAAACCACCAGCTTTAAAAATTTCAGGTTGTTAAAAAAAAAACTCAGGTTGTAGCAGTTGACGTTTCATTTTCCCAAATATCTATGAATCTTAACTATTTTTCTTAAAACCATTTGTGGAGTTGATGTTTTTCAGGACAGTGTTGACTACTTAACCAAAAAGAATCTTTACATTTTGGAGGGATTTTAAGAATTATTCTATTCCTAACTTCTAGTATATATCCAGAAGTGAATGATGTTTTAACACAGTACCATTGCACATAGTAGGGGCCAATATTTGCTGACTAATACAAAAATAAGTTTTTAAATTTCCATATTTTTATTACTTGGCTTTTAGCTGAAAGTCCTGAGGAAAGAGAAAATTTCATTTACCAAGTAAATCTTTGCATAAGGGCAATCTCCAGCTTCTAGTGCCTTAAAATTGCCAGTAATCCTAGAGAATTCTAATTTGGCATATACACCTGTGCCCACCACCCCTCCCAAGTATCTACCAAACCATTATTCTATGATATGTGAAAGCTGCCGACAAAAGACACGTTGTTCCTGACCACTGTCTTTTTTTTTTTTTTCACTGCATTTTTTGTCTGGTAGCAAGACAAAATTTGTTTGTTTGTAATGTGTGGAGTCAGAAGAGGATAAAAATCTGAATTAATCAAAAAATGTATAAACAACCTATGCCTTTTCCCTTTTCTCCTTCCCAACCTTAGTATTCATCTCAGACAATTGAGCAATGTACTACCTATACGACTTAAATGTTGTTTGCATTCTTTTAAAGCCCAATCATTAATACAAAAAAAAAAAAAATGTGAAGGCAAGAAAATGTCTGTTCTCCTCACAGATGTGATTACCTCCGTAATTGCTCCTTGGGGGAAGATTATTTATACTGTTTGTAAAATGCTGTTGTTATGATCCTATAGGTACTGGCTTAAAGAAACTTTATAGTTTGAAAGAAAGCTAAATTGGCCACAGTGGTAAACCAGATGCCTCTTTATGTTCCCTCTGTATTCACGGACTCTAATATTCTGTGTGGCCAAAGGTGACATAAAGAGCTAGACAAAGGCAGGACAAAAACTCTCGTTCCTTGACTCATCCTTTCCCAGGTCTCATCATCCTAACCTTTCTTTTCAAATCGAAGTGCTAGTCACTTTGATACTGTGTTGAATTTCTAGCTTGATAAAATATTTTTCAACAATTGGAAAGTCTTTTTAAGGCAACAAGATCTTTGTAGGGAACACTAGTCACCAGGGTTGTGAGGAAACTCCTTTTATTAAAAGGGAGCTAATCTCCCTCAACTGATTCACAGCTTGTCAGTGTGTCTGATTTTTATGAGAATGTGAAAGAAACTTTCACAGTGCTCAAATTAGTGGGCAAATTTTTGAGACTCATCATTTCAAAGAATACAAATTCAGCCCTCACAAAATCTGTATTTGTAAAGATAGTCTGAGTTTTCTAAATTGGGATCTAACCTTTGCCAGTGTAGTCATAAATATCATTACCTTCAGTTTGTGATGCTCGTCTGAATATATGCATCTTTAGATGTCAAGAATGTCATGAGCATCCCTGCTTCTGAAGTCCTGCCAGGACTTCCTTGTATCGCTTGTTGTTCATTCTGCTCAGATTCTATGTCCTGCCTGCTGAATTAGACCATGCTCCCACACCCTCTTGTTTATAGCAGCAGGTCCATCTCCCAGCCAGGGAGATCAGTATTAGTTTCTGAGCCTTTTAATCTACTCCATCTTGTTGCGTGAATCATGATGGAAGCCAAAGAATATAGAAAAAAATATTGTAGACAAAAATATTACCCATTGAAACAGGAACTTCCAGGACCCTCACTTTTTGGTTGGTTAAGATTGGTTAATTCTTTGTTTATGGAATCTTGGACCAAGATGAAAGTTACCAGTAAGTTTTTATTAAGGATGAGAAATAACTTCCTAACAAGGAAACCTCTCCAGGATTGGAAAGAATGAGATTATGTTAGTAAAAGTGTGCAGAGGTTGGGCCATCACCTGTAAGGAATGGTGATAAGAGATTCATGAAGAGTTTGATCATTCCGAAGTGCTTTCCAATTTTGTGTCTATGATTCTACTTACCATTATTACTTTATTGAAATGGCTCTACTATGTGTATCTGGATCAACATGCACAGACACACACACACACACACACGCACACAATCCTGAATTGTTCACATCTCATGATATAACTGAGTGAATCATGTTCCAAAGCTTAAACTAAGTTAGTTTGGTGAGTTGCTCAGGAGAGCATATAGCTAATGGGGCTGAGACTATAGAGTAATATTGTCCTATAGTCAATTAGCTTCTTTGGGGGAGAAAGTTATTTGACCCTGATTGCAACCCTGGCTATAGTTTCACATATGATTCTCTTCTTGATAAGCCAGGAATAAGTCACAAGAGAATATGTGAGAACATGGTAAACTTAGACATTTTGGAAAAATAATTCAAAGCATATGTCTCTCAATACTGAGCTCAGAAACCCATTTCAAATTCATATAAAATGGCCAGCAAGATCAAAGCTAACTTTGGTTATTTGGGTTGGTAAAGAATATTAAAAATATGTGGTGATATGATGATAAAGAAGCAAAATATCAAGAGGCAAGTTCCCGATATCATCAATTATCTATTTGCCCTTGATTTTTTCAAGGACCCAGTTTCCTTACCAGAAAAATAGGAAAAATTACCAGGTATATTTCACAGATTTTATATAAAAACTCCATTTAATTTGAAGAATTTTAACTTATCAGAAGGAAGACCCCTTTTTTGGATCAAGGAACTCTTGATATTAAAAAAAACAATACAGCAAAAAATACAAAGGATTCTCACAGAAAAAGGTGATTCATAAATCATTGTTTAGAAAAAGATATATTAATTAGAAGGCTTATTACTAAGGTAGACTATAGAGACACCATCTGTTAAGTATATATTGTTCCAAATTTTTTAGAGAAGGAGAACACTTTCAACTCTAGTCAAGTATTGAGTAAAAAACAGTCCCAGTGGGCCACAGAATGGAGTTATAGATAGAGGTGATAATGAGTATTTTAAAATGAAGTTGCATACTTTTCATTTATGACATTAGATCATCCCTAAAGTTGGAGAGGTTTTGTTCATTTGCATTATTTGTAAAAAGTTACCGCTAAAGAACAATGTTATTTTTTTCTCAACTCAAAAGGTGAGATTTATTAACGAAAATTCAGCAAATGGTAGAACATCTGCTTTGCAAGCTCAGTCCCTTGCTTACTAAAATTTTCACTGTGCTTTTCCCTTCTTTGAAATGTCCTAAAGCATCAATAGCACCTCAATTTTAAAACTTTTAACACATATTTAACACGCAGTCATTCATGATAAAAAAAATAGTTAAAAAGATACTTAATAAATTCTTCCATCTGTATAGTAATAGCATGTTCACTTTCTTATATGTTACTCATTTATTAAATGCAAATTTTCAAATGGATTCTTATATAGCATTTTTCCCCATACTATTACTGTTTTTGCAGTGGTTCTTGCCTTGCTTCCTATACACTATGAACAAAACTCCCAAAAATAAGCATGAGGAGACCTAATTTGTTATTGTTTTAATTATTGATGACCAACATTAAACTTATGGAGTTAGCAGGCAAATCATGTTGGGACAAATACATTTAAGTAAATTATCATTATTTAAAAGCCCATCATTTAAAATTAATGAGAGTCATTATTCCAGTTAGAATCAAGTCTGAAAATGTATATCATCCTAATTTGCTTATAGCTTGCAAAACCTCTAGTCACTCAATAATCCTGTATTGTGTATTTGAAAGTTGCTAACAGAGTAGATCTTAAAATTTCTCATCATAAGAAAAAAAGGAAAAGAATTGTAACTATGTGTGGTGACAGATATTAAGTAGACTTATGGTGATCATTTTGCAATGTATATAAATATCAAATCATTATGCCGTACACCTGAAACTGATACAGTTGTATGCTAATTATATCTCAATTAAAAAAAAAAACCAGCTCTTCTCTTGACCCCATCTCATTTGGTGTCACAACATGGGCAGAGAAAGAATCTGACTAAGCATTTGTAAGTTGATACGTTCAGTTTGCTAAACATTTTTGTGGTCCAGGCTTTGTGCTTGATATCGTAGATGTGATGGTGAATAAGATATAGCATTTATGTCCTCAATTCATTCACTTTCAGCTGGGGAAGAAAAGCAAGGACAGATGATTATAATACAGTATGAAGAGTGCCTTTAGAGAATTACTGGGTGCCATGAGGATGTCAAAGAAGGCATCATGGAACAGGGTGGGGGGTGACATGAGTTGATCCGTAAAGAAATTGGAGCTTACCTGGTAGAAAATGGGAAAGGGCTGGCTGTCCAGAGAGACAAAGACAAGAAAAAGCTTGGCCTATTGAGGGTACGGTCAGTGGTTTAATAAGACCAGAGCACAGTTATAAGCCGACAAAAGGCAGGACATGTGGCCATAAAAGTTGGCATGAGCCAGAATCAAGAGGGGCCATTATGCATTCCATGGAGTTAGGACTTTATGCAGTAGATATTGGAAGATAATGAAGTGCAAGGAATTACACCATCTATTTGCATTTTATAGAAATCCTATCAGAGAAACGATGGATTGGAAGAGGAATTCAGTGGGGGCAGGGAAATCAGGCGGTATGCCACTTTAATCACTTAAGAATGAAAAGACGAAGGTCCAAGGGGTCTTCACTAAGACAGTGGCATTAGAGA